GCCTCCCCTAACCACACCCATTTCGGCACACCCCTCACACGTTACGTGGCCCCATAGGGAGCTCCACCGAAGGCCCCAGTGGCAGGGTCCGCATGCCTCCCCACCACCCATTTCGGCACACCCCTCACACGTTTCGTGGCCCCATAGGGAGCTCCACCGAAGGCCCCAGTGGCAGGGGCCGCATGCCTCCCCACCACCCATTTCGGCACACCCCTCACACGTTTCGTGGCCCCATAGGGAGCTCCACCGAAGGCCCCAGTGGCTGCGTTCGCATGCCTCCCCACCACCATTTCGGCACACCCCTCACACGTTTCGTGGCCCCATAGGGAGCTCCACCGAAGGCCCCAGTGGCAGGGTTCGCATGCCTCCCCACCACCCATTTCGGCACACCCCTCACACGTTTCGTGGCCCCATAGGGAGCTCCACCGAAGGCCCCAGTGGCAGGGTTCGCATGCCTCACCACCACCCATTTCGGCACACCCCTCACACGTTTCGTGGCCCCATAGGGAGCTCCACCGAAGGCCCCAGTGGCAGGGTTCGCATGCCTCTCCACCACCCATTTCGGCACACCCCTCACACGTTTCGTGGTCCCATAGGGAGCTCCACCGAAGGCCCCCAGTGGCAGGGTCCGCATGCCTCCCCACCACCCATTTCGGCACACCCCTCACACGTTTCGTGGCCCCATAGGGAGCTCCACCGAAGGCCCCAGTTGGCAGGGTCCGCATGCCTCCCCACCACCCATTTCGGCACACCCTCACACGTTCGTGGCCCCATAGGGAGCTCCACCGAAGGCCCCAGTGGCAGGGTCCGCATGCCTCCCCACCACCCATTTCGGCACACCCCTCACACGTTTCGTGGCCCCATAGGGAGCTCCACCGAAGGCCCCAGTGGCAGGGCCGCATGCCTCCCCACCACCCATTTCGGCACACCCCTCACACGTTTCGTGGCCCCATAGGGAGCTCCACCGAAGGCCCCAGTGGCTGCGTTCGCATGCCGCCCCCACACCAATTTCGGCACACCCCTCACACGTTTCGTGGCCCCACAGGGAGCTCCACCGAAGGCCCCAGTGGCTGCGTTCGCATGCCGCCCCCACACCAACTTCGGTGCACCCCTCACACGTTTCGTGGCCCCATAAGGAGCTCCACCGAAGGCCCCAGTGGCAACGTTCGCATGCCGCCCCCACACCCATTTCGGCACACCCCTCAAACGGTTCGTGGCCCCATAGGGAGATCCACCGAAGACGGTACTCACACCAGCATTACTCACAACTGCATATGGTTGGGTCCTTCGCCAGGCTAATTTGAAACGTCGGATCTCTGGGACTCGCCACTGTCCTGGCCCCGCCCAAAGGGAGCCGGCCCGCGTCGCAGGCGTGGCCTTCTCGTCGTCGAGCCGCAAGGCCTGGGCCGCGTGCGCGCGCGCGCATCTCCGTGCCCCACCGCGCGGGCCGGTCCCGCGAGCTGCTCCGCCAGCCTGCTCCGCAAAGGGGGGGGAGGGCGGGGGGGAGGGCGCAGTGGGAATGAGGGGAAGCGTTGGTGGGAGACTGGTTCGGGGATGGGGAGAGGCAACATTCTCCACCTCGTCCTCCTCCTCCTCCTGCTCCTCCTCCTCCTCCACCCTCCTCCTCCTCCTCCTGCTCCTCCTCCTCCAGCTTCTCCTCCTTCCTCTCCTCCTCCTCCTCCTCCTCCTCCTCCTCCTCCTCCTCTCCTCCTCCTCCTCCTCCTCCTCCTCCTCCTCCTCCCTCCTCCTCCTCCTCCTCCTCCTCCTCCTCCTCCTCCTCCTCCACAATTGCACACTATGAATACTACTCTCCTCTCTACCCTGATGACGTCAGGAAGAAGATATCTGCCCCCCCTCCGCGTACCCTTTTTTACACACAAGACTCCCGGGAAATAGGTTTTTGCTTATGTTTTTTGTCAACAAATACTGCTCCCGCTGAAACACTGGCCCCATTTCTGCGCCTCTGGTTGTTCCAGATCGTGCTCCCGCTGCAGCGCGGGCGTTTTCGGTCCTTCCAGATAGGCCCCCAAATCTAGAAAATGCCCCCCTGAAAAACCATCGGAAGTGCTTACACATTCGGTGCGGATTCGTTCACTTTGCCGCAGAAGGCCCACCCCACTTTGGGGCGTCGTCGTTGTCAGGAAGTATCAAGTGGGAGCCCCGCTTCTTCTTTGAGAAGGCGATGTTGGAAGCAGAACCAGCGGGTGCTCTCCATCAGCCCCGCCTTGTGCGGAGCTTTTCGGGAAACCCAAAGAGCTAGACATGGAGCCACGACTCCAGACCAGCCTAGACCTCTCGAAGTCGATCCACTTACCCTCCAAGGAACCCGGCGCCATGCCATGACATGCTGTGCGGAGTTGCGTTCTGCGCCACTGTGCGATGCCATGCTTTGCGTTGCAATGCTCTGTGATGCAATGCTTCACTGCGCAATGCAACGCCATGCTATGGCATGCTGCGCTCTGGCGTGCTCTTCTACGCGATGCCATGCCGTGCTCGATCATACATCGCGTACCCTCTCGCGATCAGTAATAACGTCAGATATGACGCGAGCGCAATTAGCTGTTCCCCCTCCTCCTCCTCCTCCTCCTCCTCCTCCTCCTCCTGCTCCTCCTCTTCCTTCTCCTCCTCCTCCTCCTTCCTTCTCCTCCTCCTCCTCCCTCCTCCTCCTCCTCCCTCCTCCTCCTCCCTCCTTCTCTTCCTACTCCTCCTCCTCCTTTTCTGTTTCCTCCTCCTCCTCCTCCTCCTCCTCCTCCTCCTCCCTCATCATCCTCCCTCCTCCTCCTCCGCGTTAGTGGGAGAATGGTCCAGGGGAGGGAACATCTGCCTGGATTCAACGATGCATCGCCGATAGATCGGGGACAGGCCCCCGATAACGAAACCGCGCGTTCCTGAGTGTGTGTGTGTGTGTGTGGAACGTCGACCTGGACTCAACGATACATCGCCGATAGATCGGCGACAGGCCCCGATAACGGAACCGCACGTTCCTGAGCGGGGTGGGCTATCAGGCTCCGATCGGCGATGAATGGGCGATCGGGTGTCGATGCACTATCCGAGAGGTTGGGGCAGCGGAGTGGGATCAAGGACGGAGGTTTTCACAAGTTTCGGTTCTTCTCTGGCTTCCTGGGGCCTCCAAAGGCATGCGCAGACGTCCAGGAGAGGAGTGGAGACGACCGATGCAAGGAGGGAGAGGGGACCAGAGGGGGAACAGGACGGAAAGGAACCCTTTTGTGCGCCTCTGCGGTGCGCAACTCGCGTTCCCTTGGCGAGCACTGGACGGCCGCGACTCCGGCGGCCACGTCTCGCACGCCTCTCGGCGACGCGTGCGCCACTGCAAGCCGCATCGCCTGCATGGATGCAGGCGGTGGCGAGGGCAGCATGCGCCACCTCCGCACCCGGGGGCCCTGAGCGCCAGGCTCGCGTGCCTTTCCGGAGCTGGGTGCGCGAGGCAATGTCAGCGGCGAGCGCAAGCGGGGCCGACTGCGTGCCATGCGCGCGGGCAGTCCCCGCGCCCAGCGGCGAAGCGCAACTGGCTACTCGGAGGGGGCGGCCCCTGTAAGAACCACGCCTGCGTCGACACTCGACGAGAATAACTGTTTTTCTGGAGCGTCCAGGAAACTTGTCTCGTGGAAGGAGGCAGAATCATGAGAAGGGCTGCGTCGTCCATTCAACCCTGGCCCTGATCGCCACCGATGCATTATTACATCAAGCAAGCAGCGGTTACCCTCGACTTTTCGGATGCGGGAAACCTGTGGCGGTCCTCATGCAAGGCGCAACGCGACTGGACAAAGAGAAGAGTGGCGACGACCCTCTGTTGTCTGCTTCCTGCTCACTCCTCCTCCACGCTCAGACTCTTCTTTCTCCTCCTGCACCTGCTCCCCTCCCTCCCTCCCCCCCTACCCGCCCTCCCCGTTCCCCTCCGTAGCCATTTTGGCTCGAATGTTCCTGATCGCGCTGTACACAAGTGGATACCGTTAGTCCGCGGCAGTGCCAGGGCCTTGCGCCCGACAGTCTTTCCCGCACCCACAGTGTCAGCCCGTCCGACGTCACAGTCTCCATTGGTACGACGGGGCGCCCACGCCTCCTCGTGTGGCTCGCCCTCCTGCTGCCGCCATGGCATCCAGGCAGCGCCGCGCAGCCCAGGCCAAGGATTGGTTCTGTAAGTGGTGCATGCATAAGCCGACGAGTACCTCCTGGATCACTGGCCCAGCCAAGAACAGCCACGAAATCTTGCGCCATGTGCAGCTTGCCCGAGGCCTCCGCGTTCAAGGGCACACCTCCTCCCAATGTCGATGTCCGTCGCGCGGCTTCGATGGCAACCGCAAGGGAGAAGGAATTGCCCCATCAGCTGGCTGAGCTCAAGAACGAGGTGGCCGCCGCGCGTGGGGCCGCCGCTGCAGCAGCTGGTCAGCCCGACCCTCCTTGGGCAAAGCCTGAGGCTAGTGACGAGCGCAAGCATCTCAAGCTGAGGGTATGCTGTTGCTGCTGGGCCCCGACGGCCAAGATGACGCGGCCAAGTGGGCGGCTGTGCTGGACCGTCTACGCGCCGAGCTGCAAGCCGACAAGCCTATCGAGCAGAGCGTTGACTCCCTCAACGGGTTGCTCAAGAGCGCCAAGGCCAAGAATATGGTCGCCATTCAGCGCGTGGCAGCGGCTCGCTTTGCATTCGACACGGCACGCGAGGTGCCCCAGACGGCCGAGCAGGACGAGGCCAAGGCAAAGCAGCTTGTCATCGAGACCACAGAGAAGCTCCGGCAGGCGGCGCACGTGGCGCTGCCAGCCGAGACCGAGGCCAAGCCTAGCCTGGAGAGTTCATCCCTGGGCTGGAGGCGACGGCGGCCCAGTTCGACATGCGAGCGTTCGGTGGCACGTCCCAGTTCCGAAGGAGCTGCAGTCCATGGCGCAGGTGGTGGTCAAGCTCAAGCAGGCCTCTGCGGCCCAGGCGGCGCCCGCTGCTGCTCCCGAGGCCCAAGAGGTGCGCCGCCTACGCCGCCTTCCTCGGA